CTGTCCTAGGCATCCATAGGCCCCCTGAGAGATGAGGATTTCTATAGAGGAATTCCCAGAAAGACAAAGGAATTCAATATTTAACTTCTGATACTCAAAATAGCATTTTCAACAAGACAGTAGCCTTGCAAGCAAGCAGCCTTGCAAGCAAGCTATTGTCTAAAAATGTCCTAAATTCCTTTATTTCTCAATTTTAGCACATGAAGAACCAAGCGTGGAGGGCTCAGCTCACAGAGGAGCTTGCTGCTCTGTGTTTGATGGACTATTTGACATAGGAAAAAGAAAAGGGAGGCCTGCTCCTTCCTGCCCAGGGAATTTGGGGATAAAGGAGGAGAGGCAGGGGGGTCAGGGAACTAGAGATATCTAGGAAGCCCCGTGGGGCCCTTTGCTCAGGTATCTTTCCGGGGTCTTGGAGGAAGGCCAACAGCCCACCTCTGACCACCCCAGGGTCAACATCTCCTTGGTTACTCTGGAAGGAAGTGGAGATTCGGTGGAATTGAGAAGAGATGCAGGATTTGTGTTAACTTCCCCAAGCCTTCTACCCCTAGGGCCCCCATCTCCCAGATGCCATGAGGTGACAGGGGCCTTCCCCCCAACACTCCTATTTACTCAAGGAGAAGGGCAGAGAAGGAGGCTTTCTGAGAAACTGAGCATTTGTTATGCAAAAGCAACTCAGAATTCTCTAGAGGGACTATTTAGATGATTACATCAGACTAGGTAATAATCCAGAATGGACTAACTTGAAGTTGTTATTTTCCCACTACCCAGGAGTCGGGAGCTTGTAAGGAATCCACAGCAGTTAAAAACAAAAGCAGGTACCTTTTCTTGGTACACCCAGGGGTAGTTTGAGTAGCTTGTTTGGACATATGTTTGTGCCTTCGATAAATCCAAGACTCAATTTCTTTATCTGTTAAGTGGGGATCAATAATTATTCCCATCTCAACAGCATCGTTGTGTATTTAAATCATAGTTGGCATAAACAACCCAATCCACTTCAGAAATTCAGTAAGTACATTTCTTGCTGGTGCTGCGCAGTAGGATTAGAGCAGAGAGGAACCCAGTGGAACAGAAAGTGCTTGGCCTGGGACCAGCCCCCCAAAGCCACCAACTCCTTCTCTATGGAGAGTTGACCAGACCTCCATTCAGGCTGCAGACACCAGTCAGAAGTGGACCCCTGGTTCTTATCTCTCTGCAAGTTCATATACCAGAGAAAAACCATGCATGAGAAACCTAGTACATTCACCTGGGCCCACAGAGCTGTGCCTGTCCTTTCAAAGAGCACCTTTGACATCTGCTCTGCTCCAAGTGATTTTTGAGCCCCAAGGGGTCTGCATGGCTGCTTGCCGATCAATATCCCTGGTGTAAAAAGCAAACTGGGGCTGAGCTGTGCTTACAAGAGCTTGTTGGAGGCTGAACTAGAGTCTTGGCTCCCTGGTCCCCATTCAGCCCCCATGCCCTGGTAAGAGTATATTATTTTCTTAGCTCAAATTGCCGTTTCCAAGTCATTATTTCTCTATGACAAGAAAACAATATTGGGTCTTATGTAATATCAACCTCAATGAATCTGGAAGTGATCATGGAATGGGTGGATTTTTTTTCCCTCCTTAAAAAAGAGAAAAATAAATTTGAGATTGTTTGCATATGGCTGAGAATATTTATGAACTATTCCCCCTTATTTCCTCATCACATATTTTATCCAATGCATTTGTGTGTGGTACAGAATACATCTTTATGGGGAGGGTGGGGTGGAGAGGAGAAGAAAGCAATTAAAAGACTGGGTATCCATCAAGTGCCTGGGATATTAGTGGTCCTGGGTCTTGGGGTCCCCTGGCCTCAGGCTTGCTTGCTGTGGTCTGAGGGTAACCCGTCCTCCTCCCCAGAGGAAATCTTTTGGAGGGAGGGTTTCAAGTTCAAACACTGAAGGATTTAACATCTTCTTATCACTCTGGTTCCTTTCATATCCCCCTCCCTCTCACCAGAGCAAAAGCTTCAGCACCAACTTTTTCATAACCTGGGTGCGATCAGCCGAAAGAGATAAATTCTATGGATGCCAGATTGAGTCAGGGTCAGAGGAATGCATTGGCAGGTAGGAGGGAAAAGAACTGGCAGAGAATGTATTTGTGCTGGCATTTGTTATTCGATAATATGGCAGTGCGTTAGCCCATGGGCCTGTGGCATCTATTAGGTTTTAGGAAAAGTCATGACGTGACGTATTTTTTTCTATGTTTTTTGTTGCAAAAATGTGTCATGACTTTTCCGACAACCCAATATTTCCCTCTGGCCATGCCTCTCAACGTGGCTTGTCACTGAGAAGGATCCCAAGGGAGCATAAGGGACAGGGCTGTGGCTGCATATTAAATCAGCAAGAGAAGCAAAGCTCTGGGTTGTTGATTGCCTCCTCTAGGGACTGGGCCTTAGAATTGGGGCTTCATAGAATCTCTCATTCTCTGACACACCTTCTATTTTTTTGGAACATACTGAGCAAGAATATGGGGTGAGGGACCGAGAGCAGGATGACTGCCACATTTGCTGATGCAATAGCAATAGCTGTCATTAACTGGAGTGCCGATATGGGCTAGGCACTGTATGAGGCACTTTCCCTGCATAATCTGAGTTAATTCTCACAATGGCTTTATGAGGGTTAGGAATGTGTAGTCCCATAGTTGAGGTGAGAAAACCAAAGCTCAGTGGAGTTCAGGAACTTGCTCAACGTCACACTTAGTAAGTGCCAAGATGAGGGCTGTCTCCAAGATTTGTGGGGTCTGAAGCCAATGCAATAAGTACTAAGAAGGAATTTCAAAAGTCAACTTCAAGGCCTTGGAAGGGGCCCATGTCATTAAGGGACCCTGCAGCCTAAGTTCCAGCAGCATCGCATTAAATCCACCCTGGGTAGGGTCAAAATTTAAATACAGCATTAGCTGCAGGCCATATGGTCCCATTCCTGCTGCCACATCGCCTCTTTTCTCTACCACAATTATCACCAACTGAACCTTCACATTCTCGATCCAAAATACACAAATGCAAGTGATGAAACGGACATACGGAGGATGTTCTCAGAACATGGCTACTTGGTATGTTACGTGGTATGTCACCGTTGTGACACAAGGTAACAACCATACCCATTGCCGAATTTTATCCTTCCATTTCAAGAGATCACTAGAGAGAGAGTTTAAATTTATCCAGAACTGTCTTCCCAAGGAGTTTCAGTTGCTGTTCTAGGTCTCTTTTACCAAATGTCATAATACTTCCCAGACCAGGCAACTTGGGCACAGACTTGAGCAGCGGCCTGCTCAGGTCTCCAAGGGGCATTTGGAATCGGACTCTTCAATGTCTCATTTCCCATCATATGTCCCTCTCCCTTAGATATCAGTTGATCAAGTCCCAACAGACACTCTGATTTTTCCTTTTTCCATTATAATCAAGATTTTGTCCTAATTTTTGTAACTGAAAGGGATTTGAGGAAGCAAACAAACCCAATATAAATCACAAATGCTTGGGGGGCAAGGGAGGCGTATAATAAGTATTGTTTGGTGCCCACCCTCTGCTATTGCTCTTGAATAGGCTTGCAATCCCATCCCAGTCTAGATAATTACTAGGGGGAATACAAGCATTTTTCCCAGCCCTGCTCACTCTGTTCTCCCAAACTGGAAACACAAAGCAGATGATGAAGTACAAGTTCAAATGCCACATCAGGGAGAAGGAAGTATTGAGAAACTATGTCCAACCTCCAGTCTGTTTTCAAACATTCCAGTGAGCATTCAATTGATTTATCTTGGGCTGGTGTCATTTCATTGTCTCAAACAAAAGGCCTTCTATGAAAAGACAAACGCGGGTTATGAGGAGTGGCTAACAGAAGGCACATTTGGGAAAATCTGAACAAGGGCACACTGGACTCTTCCTCGAGGGGCAGCACCCCCCATTTATCTGCTGGGATTAATATCAGGACTGATTCCTGTGATCTCAGTGTCACGCTGTAAACCAGGCGATGGGGCTGATGACACAGGTGCAGTGGCTACTGAAAGACACATCTCTGTCCCCTGAGCTCAGGTGGACAGCTCCTTAGTGTCCTAGGGCTGAAATGGTCTATGAGATTCTCGATGGAATGACTCAGTGATGGCGGCTTACTGGAGTTCTTCTTTTCAGTATTTTGTTCTGCTCTGTGTCTAAAGGAATTATTGGAGAGATAATTAATGGGGCAAGACTATAAAAGTTTTTGTCCACATTGTCTTCCTTTGGATGTTTATTCTTTGAGCTGTATCCATGGCAGATTTCTGTGCAGTTGTGATTGCGCATTTCCAGTACAGCCCACAGCCTGGTACATTGGCCTTTCTATGTTTTGGACAACACTGATTTTTAGAACACTCTTCTCTGGCTTAAACTCAAGTATGCCTCCCTGATACCCACTGATTCTTTGAGGGCAACACCAAACATGGCCTCTCACTTTTCTCAGTTCTTGCCTTCCTGGAAACCTTGTCCCCTCCCTTCTTTGGTTGGGTTAGCCATAGTTAATACTTCCACAAAACCCGGTGCATATCTCTGTCCTAGGACTGCTGTACAGTTGTCATTTACGTATTTAATAGCCCTTTCTTTATACAAAATTATTATGTGAGTTAATTATGGATTATTGGAAAAATATACACAAGCAACAAAGAAAAATGAAACTTGACTATTGTTACTGCATCTTCTGGAAATAAGCACTAAGCTTTGATATATATTCTAATGGCTGCATATATATATTTCTTCCCCTTCCCTCACCCCCCCCCACACACACACACAAAATAAAGGATTAGCTAGCGCCTATTGTTTGGCTAAGTCTTGCTTTTTCAGGCCATTTAATACTTTTCTACTGCATCATGTTTAATGGCTGCCAGGTATTCTGTAGTGTGTGGGGAGCTGGCAGTGTGGTGAAGGGTTTGGGATAAGCTACTTTACTCTGAAGACTGTGGGTGTATCCAGTGGCAAGGTTGACTAAAGACACTTCTTTTGCTGTTCCATGCCAGCCCTTGAGAGAGGCCTGACTAAGGCGCTAAAGAAACTGGATGACTACCTGAAAACCCCTCTGCCAGAGGAGATTGATGCCAACTCCCCCGGGGAGGATGACAAGGGGTCCAAGCGCAAGTTCCTGGATGGGGATGAGCTGACCCTGGCTGACTGCAATCTGTTGCCCAAGCTCCATGTGGTCAAGGTAAGAGGCTTCTACCTGCAAGTGGTTGCCAGGTCCAACTCCACCTTAGGCTGGGCTCACCTGTGTGGTTAAGGCAAGGGCAGTGCCACCTGCTGGTTGAGAGCCTGTGTTCTGAAGTCACTTGAATAGGAACCCAAAGTCAGCCTCCACTGTGTGCTGGCTGTATAGCCTCTCTGAGGTTCAGTTTTCACCTGTAAAATAGGCATATATTGCTTATTTCTAGGGTTGTTGGGAGAGTAATGTGGTGTGAAAGTGCCTGGCATATTGTAAGAGCTCAATATATAATAGTTGCTATTGTCATGTTATATATAGTGACATGTAGTCCTAGCACTCAAAAGGCCTCTTCCTTGTCTCGTCCTCATAGGTGTTCACTGACCACACCCCCACATCTCTATTAAATGTGCCCTCTGAGGCACGTTTTCTCTATGCACCACCTTCTCATTCCCTCGAGCAAACTCCCCAGGGCAGGCAGGCATCCACTTCCTCATCTATCAGTTGACAAGATAGAGGCTGGAAGAAGTGACACCATTTTTTTTTTTTTTTACTGTTGTTGCACTTTCTGACCATCTTCGACAGGCACTGTAACCCTTTCCTGTACGAATCTTAGGATCTGCAAGTTGGAAAGAAGGGAATTCAGAGGTTATCCAAAACAATTTCCCATCCCAAATGGGGCCACTCTCTGTTTGTGACAGGCTCCTCTGCAGCTCTGACTGCACATTTCTGATCATGTCAGCCCGACCATTTTGGACAGCTCTGATTCTTAAAATAACCTCCAGACGGCCTCCCTGCTCCCCTTCATTCTCTGGACCATCACAAGACAGGGCTGCCTGTACTTTCATCTCATTTGAAGACAGCAGTTGTATTCTCCAAAGTTCTCTAAATTAACTCTTCTTCTCACATCCTTTCCCGACCCTCACCAGCCTAGAGAAAAATACAATGGGATTGTAGAGTTGCACTGTTCTCTACTTGCACATGTACTTATGTCCTATTGTCTCAGTCAGACAATAAGCTCTGTGAGGATAGGGCCTTCTCTTAGCATGATGGTGGCCCTTTAATAAATACTCATTGATTGGTCGTTTCATCACCTAGTTCTGTCTTTATGATACCCCGTTTCTGTCTACCTTTCACTGGGAAGAATCAGATGTAGTCATTTATCAGCCGAATATCTGCCTGTTGTTTTTTTCACCTGAAGTCCAGGCTAGAAATGCAAGCTTCCTTCCAATCACAGCACACACAAGCTTGAGTTGAAATCACTTAGCTGGGTGTGCACTGGTGTTCCCATGGGCTCGGTCTGAGCTGGAGGCTGGAAGGGAATCATGCATGCTGGTGCTGGTGGCCTGAGCAAATACAACCTATTAATATGAAGACACTTTGGGTTTGGGGCCAAGCCAATGGTCAATTGTAGGTTCAGCCAAGCTACATCTCTTTGAAGTTATTAATTAGCATACCCTGCTCCACCCCCAAAACATCCTCATTCTCTTTTCCTGAGGCACAAGAGGCACCAGTAGGGATGATATGATTCCAATTCAGTCATACTGTGTTGGAGTGATGTAATGGCAAGATCCCCATGCTAGACGTCAGGGAATCCAAGTTCTAGTCCTACATCTGCTACCAACTGGCAGCATGAGCTGGGGCAGGTCATTTACTTTTTTGGAATTGTTTTTTCTCATGCCTAAAAGAAGAGATGTGGATTATGTTCTTTCTTGCTTCTTTTTCCTCTCTTTCTTCCCTCCTTCTTTCTTCTCTCTCACTCACACATGTATTGACTACCCACTCAAGGATCACTTGTCAAATAAGGTAAACAAATGGATCTCCCAGACCCTGTACCTCATCCTACGATTTCTCCAGTTCCTTTCAGCCCTTAAATGACTAAGTTACACCCCTGTCCTTGGATGAAGTTCAGTGAGTTGTTCATTGAGAGAAGCTGGGAATCAGAGGGAGGATGGCCTGTGAGGGGACAAAGGCTGGGCCTCGCCTCCTGTCTCCTTGGATTTCTGCTGATGCAGCTTATCAGATCCCAGAGACCTGGCAAACCTCTGAAGTGCAGAAGGAGTGAAGGGGGAGCCAAGTCAGGCCTCCAGTTTGGCTTCCGATGCCAAAACTTAATCTGGGCTGTGGGAACTAACTGTTTTCATATGAAAAAGCAAATTCAGAACATGAGCTTGGAAGTTCCTGCAAACGTCAGAGCTTCCTGTGTGAATCCTCACCTTCTCACTCTTGTGCGTGTTTTCTCCTCTCTCTCTCTCTCTCTCTCTCTCTCTCTCTCTCTCTCTCTCTCTCTCTCTCTCTCTCTCGCTGTCTTTCAGGTTCATCTTCATTCGTGGAACCTGAGTTGTTTTGGCCCAGGCTTCTCTCACTAAGTGCCTGGTTTGAACTTTCATTGTCTGGCTCCCTTCTATTTCTCATCTCCCCAAGTCAAGCCAACACATGAGGAAACAACCAGTTTTGCAACTAACGCAGGCATGCAGATCCCGGCAGGGAGAACATGGCGGGCCTTTCGTAGCCTCCACTGGGACCCTCACCTGGCAGAGTGATCTGTTCAGCCCCTGCAGCAAACAGGAAGGGAGATATGTATACACAAATACATATTCATAAATTGCATTTCTGCTGTTTTCAAGTTCATATTATGTCCTTTAAAATCTTGCAAGTAAATTCCAGCATGGAGAGACTTGAGGCTGCTGTATCGATCTGTTTGTAATCCAGTAATCCAGCTGCATGGATTTGCTCCTTGGCCAAGACAACCTCTTCTAAAGGCTCTTGGGCAAACCCAAGGGACCCTCATCTTGCAGTGAACAGACAGAGACTGAGGAGAACTGGCAGGGGGTGTTGGCCCCAGCATACGCTCTTGACAAGTGATCTGTAAAAACACTCTGATTCCAGCACCTTTGCTTATTAGTCACACCTAAGCAGGACAGAACATTGAGGGGGTGCCTTCTTTGGTGACCACACCAAATTTAGTATAAAGAAGTGCTAAGTTACTAAGTACTAAAGAGCTAGGAACATAAAATGTACCACGAGGTCCCACCTTCAGGACGCAGCCACTACCCCCAGGATGGGGTGGGGAGGAGGACAAAGGCAAGAGGTTGGAATGATCAAAACTTAGAAACTTAGATGAGGGGCCCTGCAGAGCCGAGCCCTGGACCTCTGAGGTGGGGCACAGCTCAGCTGATTCTGGGGGCGGAGTTCAGAGCATGGCCCATGGGATTAGGACCCATCTTCTGCAGTGCAGTCACTGTTGTGTGCTGGCCTTTCTGAGCTGGTGTGATGACATTGGTTTTGCAAGTGCTGGCAGAACAGCAAACTGGATTCAGCTGCTGCTACTGGGGAATAAAAGACTGACAGGAACAGGAAGCTAACAAGAAGAGGCGTGTCCCTTCTCCCTCCTCCAGGCTGCAGCGTCTCTCTAGTGCCCCCTGTTGGTAGAGCCTGACAGGGAGTTGCTGGCAAAGCAGACGTGTGATTTGCAGTCTGAACCCCAGCATCACAAAGAAGCAAATACAGGGGTAGGTTTGAAGATGTAAATAACAACAGCTGAAAAACTGCCCCAGGCGATTCCGAGTAAAGCTGTTCCTTTATCACTTACATCGGGCAATGTGGAGAGAACTGGGATTAGAAAGCAGGGATAATAATAAATATTAGTGATTACTCAATAATATTGGTTGAATTAATTATTTTCCTGTGTAACATTCTGCAAGCCCCTAAATCTTTTGTAGCTTCAGTTTGTTCATTGCTAAGGATCTTCAGTCTTTACAATTCAGTGACTTATTACATTTGACGCTAAATGCATTTTGTCTGATGTTAGGATAACTGAGGATGGTAAAGATTAAATACAACTTCAAACCCTACTTATTTAACCTCTCTTTACCTTACTTTTCTCATCTGTAAAATGGGAATACAATACACTTTTCCTTACAGAGTTATTTAGAGAGTTAAGGAGCTTGCAAGTTGCTTAAAGCAGTGCCTGGAGCACAGCACATAGTATATAAATGTTTATTTTTGTGGTAACTCTTTTTAACAAGAGCATTATTGAGATTATCACAGAAACGCAGAAGCTGTGGTTCCTGTCCTTATGCTGCTCACAGCTAGGAAAGTGACAGAGGACACCAAAACAGAACTGTGATCCAGAATAGAATAGATCTTAGTGTTGTAATAGAAGTTCAAAATCGATGTAGAAGAATGGAGGGGGAAATGCACCCTCCTTGGAAATGGAATCCTATCTATGAGACTGAACTTTTCATGCTTTAGGTCGCCATGGTCTTTCCCTCAGAACAACTTTCCAGGGAACCCCGTCAAAAAGTTCTCAGAATATCCAGACATTGACAGCAGAACAGTAAACCAAGAGCGGGGCCCTTCTGAGAGTGAGGCCCATGTGACAGCACAGATCCCATGTCTGTGAAGCCCTCACTGGCTAGTGAGATCTTATGAAAGAGACCACCTTGCCCCAACCTATGAAGAAACGTGCAAGTGGGCAAAAGGTGGGTCTCAATGAATTATCATAGGTAATGTTTCTTGAGCACTATGAGCCAGCCACCTCTCTAAACATTTATGTGT